CCTCAGGAAAGCGTGGCGAGAAGGGTGATCAAGGAGAAGTAGGACGTGGGCACCCCGGGATGCCAGGGCCCCCAGGGGTCCCAGGTAAGACCTTACTTTGTTTTGTCCCTAAGCTTGGAGATTAATGTCCCAGGGATACCTGGGACTCTACAGAGGCCTTACCCTTAGTCACCTTGGAGCACCCAGGAGTCCCTGTGTGGGGTCTGGCTGGAAGGCGGAACATGCCACAATCACTTAGGAAAGGAGAGATCAGGAATTGGGGACAATTATAGACTGTGTCTGGGACAGAACCTCTTCTTTCTGCCTCACCTTCTGCCGAGGCCAAGGAGGCCCTGATGTCTTTTGCTGTTGTTACCTTATTAAGGATTTGTACAAAAGGGTTACAATTCCGTAAGTCAGGTAATGAGTACAATGCTTCTTGGACAATGTCATCCCTTCCTTCTCCTTCCCCCATTTTTTCCCCAGGCCCTGATGTCTTGATTCTCTCCTTTACAGGACTCCCTGGCCGGCCTGGCCAGGCAATCAATGGCAAAGATGGAGACCGAGGGTCCCCAGGGGCTCCAGGAGAGGCAGGCCGACCCGGCCTGCCAGGCCCTGTGGGGCTGCCTGGCTTCTGTGAGCCTGCAGCCTGCCTTGGAGCTTCAGCATATGCCTCTGCCCGTCTCACAGAGCCTGGATCCATCAAGGGGCCATGAGCAACAGGCCAGGACAAAGCTCACCAGCAACCTGGTGGTGTGACATGAATTTCAGCCCCAGCCTAGGAAACTGACCTTTCCAGGACTTTCTGTCCAGGATGCAGAGATCCTGAGGACCAGGAGTTTTACAACACAGGGGAGAGAGCCTCAGCGAAGAGATGAGGCCAACAGGGCAAATGTTGCTGGAGAGCCAAAGTTCAAAGGGAATAGGGCAGCTTTCCCTCCCAAAGAACAACTGGATGGTCCCCAATGTCTCCTTAATTTGCATCAGTCTCTCCTGGCCATCCTGTTCTCAGGGCAGGTAGACTGAGCTCTCTGCCAGTGCTGTCTCATTCTCTCTGGACTTTCTGGGTGTCTGCTGATGGGTGACTACGTTGGGGTTGCCATCCTTCAGGCCAGCCTCACTACTTCTTGCCTTCATGTCGAGCATGTAAACACCTGCTTCCCTTCTCTTTCCGCATTGCTCTCTCCCACCCCTCCTCTTCCCTCTCCCCACCCCCACCCCGTACACACTAGTCTTCTGTAAATATAAAACCTCAACTTGGGTACAAACCACGGTATGAGTTGTTTAGTTCAATTTTTCTTTTTTCCTGTGCTGTTAACTGGGGCTTGAACTCTGGGTCTGGGTAATCTCCTTGAAGCTTTTGTGTTCAAGGCTAGCACTCTACAACTTGAGCCATAGCTCCTTCTGGCCTTTTTGGCAATTTACTGGAGGTAAGTCTCGTAGGCTTTACTTCCTGGGCTGGCTTCAAAACATGATCCTTGGATTTCAGCTTCCTGAGTAGCTAGGATTGTAGGTGTGAGCTACCTCATCTGGCTTCATTTGCTATTCTAGCCTCAATTAGTGTCTGGGAGGGGACATAGCAGTTGTCCAGTATTTATTAAATAAGTAATATGTTCAGTATACTCAAAGAAATAAGACTCAACTAATAAGACTCACCCTGCTAGAAAGGCAGGGACTTGGGCTCAGCTTGTATAGAACTAGATGTGTTCCTGATGGTTCAACCTGTTCCCACAGTTCTTCCCCCTTACACTAGGCACAGATGAATCTTGGGAGGCAAAAGTCCAGCAAACCTGAAGGACTGAGGGCTTAGCTCAGTGGTAAGGAACTTACTTAGCATGAACGAGGCCCTAGGTTAGATCCCTAGCCTCTTCATCACCACCAAAACAAAAGGTTAGAACTGGACCCCAGAGTTTGCTTTTAGGAAAAGGGGATTTAGGAATTGTAACAGGAAGGGCACTATAGCAACTGCTTCCCCAGGTCATAGCTTGTGCCCCACTCTCCAACTCTTGTCTAGCATTAAGATGGGGAAGTCCAGCAATCGCCTCTACCTTTGCTCCTAACACAGAAACCAGAGTAATTCTGTTCAGTTAAATCAGATCACAGCTTCAAAACTTCCTACCACATCCAGTAAAAGCCAGGATTTACATTCTAGGCCCTGAAAACCCTGTCTTCCTACTAACTCATCTTCCACACCTCTCCTATATATAGCACATGCTGTGTTTCTTAGGCACACCAGGCTGACTCCCATGATAAGGCCTTTTACATTTGCAGTTCATTTTCTAAGATACTCTCAAACACCTTTGTAGACGGCCCCACCACTAAGGTATATCACATGTAGCTTACAAATCAGGCAAAGTAAGAGATCAGCAGTAATAGCAAAATACAATCTTTTTTTTTGGGGGGGGGAGGGGTCTGGTCGTGGGCCTGAACTCTGGGCCTGGGCACTGTCCCTCAGCTCTTCAGCTCAAGGCTAGTGCTCTACCACTCGAGCCACGGCGCCACTTCCAGCTTTTTTTCTTTCTGCTTATATGGTGCTGAGGAATCGAACCCAGGGCCTCATGCATGCAAGGCAAGCGCTCTATCACTGAGCCACCTTCCCAGCCCCGCAAAATACAATCTTAATAGACTGTAATAAAGTTATGGAAATGGTCTCACTTCAAAGACAAAAGACAGTATTTTTACATCGTGGTCAGAAAGTAAAACCATGGGTAAGGAGACACTATTGTAACTTACTTATTCTTTTTTTTTTTAATATATTTATTTATTTTTTGGGGGTCTGAACTCTGTCCCTCAGCTCTACTACTTGAGCCACAGCGCCACTTCTGGCTTTTTTCTTTTTGCTTATGTGGTGCTGAGGAATCGAACCCAGGGCCTCATGCATGCAAGGCAAGCGCTCTACCACTGAGCCACCTTCCCAGCCCAACTTACTTATTCTTAACTGTCATCTAGCATCAGAGATCTCTGGCCCAAAGACAGGAGAGTGATCTGCTCACAGGTAGAGGCAGTCCTGGTTTCCTAAACCATAGGATTTAGACCACATGGGATATGACCACATGGGATGTGCCTATTCTTCTGAAGCCAGTTTAGTATAAAACTATTAATTGGATAACAGAAGAACCCATTTTCTCCTAGCCATGTTGCCTGCTCTCAAACTGTACCCAACATAACACACATGGTCTCAGAGGGCAATACTACATATAAGGTAAGGCGTGACTGTGCATGTTTAAGAAACCAATGGAAACCATCACTGTGCTAAAGCCACTGACTTCATCCCAGGAATTCTGCTCCTATCCCAAAGACAGGCAGAATTTACTTAGACCTCAGCAAAAATCTAAGTCACAACCACATCCATCAGATTCTGCCTTGAACACAGACATCAACCCTTTCAGGCTCAGGCCATTTTACTCAAGGCTTTTTTTTTTTTTGGTGGGCCGTGGGGCTTGAACTCTGGGCCTGGGCGCTGTCCCTCAGCTCTTCAGCTCAAGGCGAGCGCTCTACCACTTGAGCTACAGCGCCACTTCTGGTTTTCTGGTGGTTTATTGGAGATAGGAGTCTCACGGTCTCTCCTGCCCGGGCTGGCTTTGAACCGCGATCCTCAGATCTCAGCCTCCTGAGTAGCTAGGATTACAGGCATGAGCCACCAGCGCCCGGCTTACTCAAGGCTTTGACCTACTTGATCCCATCCTCCTCTTGTGTCTGTCAAGTATGGCAATGCAGTCCACCACTTTCCTTCCTTGGTTAGCTCCCAGTATCTCCTTCTGACCCATCCTACACCTTAGCCATCCAGTCAGTCACATATTAAAAAGCTGATTCCTGATGTCATACATGAGGAAGACCTAAGAGGCAGATGGAGCATACCAGGCAGAGCCAAAACAATTTAAAAATGTAATTATAAAAATGGAGAATTACCTGACTTGTGAAATGGTATCCCCTCTGTACATCATTTTTATAATAACAATTAAAAATAGTTAATGTTAAATGAAAAATTAACTGTAAAATGAAGTTTCAGAGGAAGCATCGTGAGAACCAGTAATGCTCTGTGGAGTGGAGCAGGAAGACAGGCAGGAGGACTCGGTGAGGCATGGTGATAGTGTTGCCAACACTCAGTTTTAGAGCTAATCTTTCACATGATTCTCCATGTGCTACCAGCCTATTCTTCTAGGTAACTAACACATGACACACAAGTTACATCAAACTATGGACAAGGTATATAAATCTGCATTGGCAATTTTTAATGTTTTACTTGTGCAGAACTGAAAGTTGTATTAAAAGGCACAGGAGGAAGGAAAGGCAGTTATCTGGGCATGAAGTAAAGGAAAAAGGATGCTGGATAAAAACATAAGACTGTTCTGCTTTAGCTGTGGAAAATAAATAATGCAGTGCTAGATTTTTATATTTCCACATGAAGATATCATTCAAATGTCAGCTGAACATAAGACTTTACAGCCAGATACCAAAGGCATGTGGATCCCACTTGGGAGAAAACACGTAGAAGGTTAATGTTCTTGTCAAAAGAGCATCAGCTACCAAGTGAGTCCTCATTCAGAAGTGGACAAAGGTACAAAGCAGTCATATATATATATATATATATATATATATATATATATATATATATATATATATATACATACACATACAGCCTGTACAACTGGAAAGATTTCATGACTTCGTTTTCTGAAAATAATATCAAGAACTACAATTTTCAAAAATGGAATCAGGCCTAATTAAACAGTGCTTAGTATTTACTGATAAAAATTACAAAAATAAAAACAAACTTCTGTTCTTAAAAGAGATAGAAAACTATATTTTTGCCTATAATAAGACAATCTGCAATATTTCATCTTCATGTCTTCTCAAATGTCATTTCACCTTCCTTCCATGTTCTGCCACTTTGAACACGGCAAGACTTGTACAAAATGGCAATTTCTGCTTAGTGAAAGGATATACTATTTATTGGGGGTGGGGGGAATGAAAAAAAGCTTCTAATGAACCTATACTACCAGGTGGGAGGAAAGATAAAACTTAAAACCCAAAAGTCGATTTAAAACATCCTGTACATAATTTCTACTGTGAAAGCACTGTTAGAAATTCCTGATCAGTGTGCAGCTAGAGACTTTAAATTTGGTAAACAGTAGCGCATATGTCTTAATGACTTTCATTTACGTAACAGCCTTATTTTTCTTTCTAATTTAAATCACTGATTGGCTAGCTTAAGTCATAACAGCATACAAGTAAAAAGAGACTTCAACTCAGGCCTGAGCAGGAGGATGGGAGATTGAAGTGTCTGCTTTGCAGAAGGCTTCAGGTGGTGTAAACCCTCCCCCTCCCCCTCCGATCCTGCAGAAGTGTACACATAAAACAGCTGTGCATTTTGTTAAAGAATTTACAGAGATGATAAATCAAATGTCAAAGATGAAACTATGCTTTTAAAAACATTAAGCCTCAAATTTTTACAGTGTTTTAAGAATAAAATTATTTTTGAAATGAGATATTAAATATATTTAAATCTGGACTTTTCTGTATTCAATCATTCTTATTTAAAAAAAAAAAGTTTAAAAACATCAAGAGCTGGAACCAGGACAAATAATCAGAAATGCCTCCAGTCACAGAACCTGAGCACCTCAGTCTTGCTTTGTATTTTTCAAAGCTTGAAGTCTCTCTAGTAGTGGAGGATGAGAATAATGCCACATTGAAAATAACCAGTCAGAAACTGGGAATCCCAAGTTGTCTTTGTTTAGTTTGATCAAAGCAGAATATAAGTCTTTGGCCTTCCCCAGTTTCTTGGCAAATGCATCAGCTTGAAACTCAAACCTTCGGCTTAGGACTGTTAGGCAGAAAGAAAGAACCTGAAACAGGAAAGAACAGTGTTTCAGCCCCTGTATCAGCTACTGAAGCCTTGTTGTTACCCCAAGTGTCAAAGGCTGGGGTGTGGAAAGCTTGGCCTACAATACAAGAAACAGCAGTTAATTGGGAGCACTGCAATTAGGGAACTGAGGGTGAGGGAACTGTTACAAATTTAGTCTTTCTCCCCATAAAACAGATCATAAAAAGAAGTATACACACACACACACACACACACACACACACACACACACGTGTATATATGTAGCTGTGGGAGGGACTCACAGGGAGGGTGGGGGGAGCTGAGACAGCTTGTGCAGGACTTCTAGCTGGAGACATAGTATACCACTTCTTGGTGATATAAACTATCTATCTTTCCAGAGTCACACCTGAGTCATGTACTCAGGCCTTTTTATTTCTTTTCCTCCCTCCCTCCCTCCCTTCCTTCTCTCTCTCTCTCTTTTGGTGAGTTGTGGAGCTTGAACTCTGGGCCTGGGTGCTAACCCTTAGCTCTTCATTCAGCTCAAGGCAAGCACTCAACCACTTGAGCCACAGCACCACTTCCGGTTTTCTGGTGTTTAACTGGAGATAAGAGTCTCATGGAGGGCTGGGAAGGTAGCTCAGCGGTAGAGTACTTTTTGAGGAAGCTGTGGTAGTGCACTTGAAGACTAAGGCAGGAAGTTGGCTTGAATCCAAGAGTTTGAGACTAATGTGGACAACATAGTGAGATCCCACATTCTCTTTTTTTTTTTGGGTCCCGTCGTGGGGCCTGAACTCTGGGCCTGGGCACTGTCCCTCAGCTCTTCAGCTCAAGGCTAGCGCTCTACCACTTGAACCACAGCGCCACCTCCGGCTTTTTTCTTTTTGCTTATGTGGTGCTGAGGAATCGAACCCAGGGCCTCAGGCATGCAAGGCAAACACTCTACCACTGAGCCATCTTCCCAGCCCCAGATCCCACATTCTCATAAGAACTAACTTCACTGAATTTTAATCTCAATTATTCTCACATACCCTACCTCTATCTCTAGTTTAGCTTTCCAAACTGTTCTTTCATTCTCTCTTTAACACCTAAATACAAACATAGAAGATTCTAACCAGTACCTACCATCTTTTTTTTTGCCAGCCCTGGGGCTTGAACTCAGGGCTTGGGCACTGTCCCTGAGCTTCTTTTGCTCAAGGCTAGTGCTCTACCACTTGAGTCACAGTGCTACTTCCAGCCTTTTCTGTTTATGTGGTTCTGAGGAATCGAGCCCAGGGCTTCATGCAAGCACTCTACCACTAAGTCACATTCCCAGTACCTACCATCTTTGTTGAAGGTTTTTTTTGGAGGCAGTACCAAAGCCTCATGCTTTCAAGGTAAGTGCTCTACCACTTGAGCCATGCCTCTAGTCCCCAAAGTAGTTTTTTTTTTTTTGGGGGGGGGAGTCCAGTCAGTCCAGTCATTTCTGGCTTTTTTTCCCTACTTATGTGGTGTTGAGGAATCAAACCCAGGGCCTCAGGCATGCAAGGCAAGCACTCTACCACTAAGCTACCTTCCCAGCCCCCATAATGTAGTTTTGAAGATTACACATTACCTCATTGTAAGGTGAAAAAATAAACTGAAAGATGATCAGCAGTCCAATTAGAGTGGGTTGGCTGTCATAAAAACCAAATGCAGCAAAAAGTTCCTTTCGACCAATTAAGACAGCAAACAAGAAAAAACACAGGAAAGAATTCATCTAGAAAATAGGACATAAAATTTTAAGTTATTACTAAACTGACTTCATTTGTGGGATAAACAGTATCACAAAAATACAACGAAAAAATCATGGTGTGATTTTTAAGGAGAATGATATTGTGATCAAATCAAAAGTTATTTAGTTTTATAGTTTTCCCCCTTATATTCTCAAAAGAAAAAAATTCCCCGAGTATTTAAACCACAGGTTTCTACAGTGGAAGGATTGTGGTGAGCCTCTTAAATAATTTAGTCTGACACGGCCAATGGCAATGGAGTATTGAAAGGCCAGAACAGATTCTGCTTTAACCTTAATGTGTAAAAGCTCCTTAAAGTTTCTTTAGGACTGCTGGAGCTGTACTGAATCATTACAAAAGCCAAGGGGAAAGGGATGGAAGGGTGTGTGTGTTGTGTGTGTGTGTGTGGGGGAGAACCAGATCTATCTTTATCAATAAATGAAGGGGGGAGGAATCTACACTTGGAGTAAAGTTGGAGAACACATGCCATTATTTTCCCTAAGCAGATCAGGAACTCAGAGGCCACACATACCAAATTTAAGTGTGCCATCCAAACCATTTACCTGCTATCCAAGAAGCTACTGCACAGAATGGATCTTGGACTATGAGGTTTGCCTGCCACCCGGAATGAAGTAAAGCATCTCTGGTGCTCAGCCTTGATAACTCAATGCAGCCACCATACCAAGCCCCACAGAAAACACCCAGTGAAGATGTCCACACTTAGAGTCTATGCATACATTCTTATCAAGTGACCAGAGACCTCTTGAAAATTAACTTTTGGTTTGCTACTCCTCCCTACTGGAGTCTGAATTCCTGGTCATGAGACACCTGAGCCTTTCCTTCTGAGTATGTAAAGCCACCTGTCATTATATAGCCATCTATCATCAGGTGACAGTGGTTGCACAGGCAAATGAAACAAACAGATTAGGAAGGTAGGAAGAAGTTAACCAGTATGTGTTCTTACTCTATCCAGTAGGCCCATTCCTGCCACTCTGCTACCCCTTAATCAGTCCTTACTCATAGGAAATTCCTATAGTCATTTAATTGAGAAGGAAAAAAATAAAGTGTATTATATGAATAGCGATATGCTGGTATTGGCTCAAAGTAGTCCACTGTGGCATTACAAAACCCTTCAGGGATGGACTTGGAAGGCAGGCAGTGGTGCAAGGTATATTCTCCATGAAGAAAGCTGCAAGTACTATGTCTCACTGACCAATCAGTGGAGGAGACACCTGTCCAGCAGAGGAGATACTTGCCAGTAGGCAAGTAATGGTTTGACTGGATGATCAGGGCTGTGGGACAAACTAGAGGATGGCTAAAACAGGAGGGCTGGAGAAAAGGTGCATGCAAGACTTCAACAGCTCAGAGTATGATTACACCATGGCCTAACATGAAAGTTCACAAAGAGCCTCATGATACAGGAGGTACATGACGATCAAGAACAAATACCTGTTCTGTGGAGGTCAGCCAGACTGTTTTTACTGCACTCAAGGACTTGGTCAAGGGACTCATGCCCAGTGGCCAAGGTGGTTGAGATAGGAGTCAATGCATTAGACAACACCTTCCACCTGGCAAGAGCCAGTTACCCAATCTATCAGCAGGCACAATCAACCCCAGTTCTCAGGGACCAGCCCCACCACCTTGTGGTAGGCAAATTCCACTGGACCCTTTCTTTCATGGAAAGGACAGTGATTTTCCTTATAGAATGACCACTGAAAGCCAGGTGCCGGTGGCTCACGCCTATAATCCTAGCTACTCAGGAGGCTGAGATCTGAGGATCACGGTTCAAAGCCAGCCCAGGCAGGAAAAATCTGTGAGACTCTTATCTCCAATAAACCACTAGAAAACCAGAAGTGGCGCTGTGCTCAAGCAGTAGAGTGTTCGCCTTGAGCTGAAGAGTTGAAGGATAGTGCCCGCCCAGAGTTTAAGCCCCATGACCAAAAAAAAAAATAAAAAAATAAAAAAGAAGAATGACCACTGAATTTGAGCCTGGATTTGGATTTATGTAATGTCTTCCTCCCTTGTACCCATACAGAATAATTTGAAGCTAGGGAAGTCATTTTCATACCTAAAGATGTATATCAACAAAAATGTGCCCCTGAGTGTTCAAAAGTCCTCACATGTTACCCATCCCCCACAATCAGGTGATCATCAGAAAGGTACAGAGCTTTACTGAAGACTCTAACTCACATACCTGCAATCTTAGCAATCTGGAGACTGAATGAAACAGGAGGATCTCCAGTTTCAGGCCAGCCACAGTTACATAGTGAGACACTGCCTCAACAACAAAAACAAAAAACTGATCCCTGATCAGTTAAGTCTACATACATATATAACCAGCCAACAAGGTAGTGCTATTTCATCCATGGCTTGAAAACCTATTGGCTATGTCTTCAGACCTATGTCTTAGGAACTGCTTTCTTCTTTTTGTGCTCTACCATTTTTGGTGAACATGTAATTATTTTTAAGTGAGGAAAAATGTTTTTAAAAAAGCATTTAAGGGGAGGCAGGGGTGGAAAAAAAAAGCATTTAAAGGGCTTAGACTGTAGCTTAGTGGTAGAGTGCTTGCCTAACACGCAAGAAGCCCTGGGTTCAATTCCTTAGTACCACATAAACAGAAAAAGTTGGAAATGGCACTGTGGCTCAAGTGGTAGAGTGCTAGCCTTGGAGGAAACAGAAGCTCAGGGACAGTGCCCAGGCCCTGAGTTCAAGCTCCAGGACTGGCTAAAAACAAACAAACAAACATGTAAATATCCAACTTCGCCAGGCGCTAATGGCTCACACCTGTAATCCTAGCTACTTAGGAGACTGAGATCTGAGGCTCACAGTTCAAAGCCAGCCTGGGCAGGAAACTCCATGAGACTCTTATCTCCAACTAACCACTAAAAAAACTATAAACAGCACTGTGGCTCAAGTGGTAGAGTGCTCGCCTTGAACTGAAGAGCTGGGGGACAGTGCCCAAGCCCAGAATTCAAGTCCCACAACCCCCCAAAAAAAGATCAGAGATTAATAGACTGCTTCATTTACTTTGAAGTCTGTATTAACCTCTCTACTACATGACCTCTTGTGCCTACTATGCTTTAAAAAATATAACTGTCATTATAAACTTACCTGGCTAATAATGATATTTTTGACCGTGTGTCCCAACTTCCAGTGCCCCAGTTCATGGCCTAGTACAGCAAGTACCTCTTCATTTTTACATCCTTGTTTCTTATTCTGAATCTAAGAATAAAAGGAACATAAATTATCAACAACTTGTAAAAAGTTTGAACCTTCGACTTTAATAATAATACTCTTTTTTGTCAGTCGTGGGGCTTGAACTCTGGGCCTGGGCTCTGTCCTGCTCTTCAGCTCAAGACTAGCACTCTACCACTTAAGCTACTGCACCACTTCCAGTTTTCTGGTGGTTTATTGGAGATAAGCGTCTTACGGACTTTCCTGCCCAGGCTGGCTTGGAACCGTGATCCTCAGACCTCAGCCTCCAGGGTTGCTAGGATTATAGGTGTGAGCCACCAGCCCCAGCTCTTTCACAGATTATAACTTAAATAAACAATCAGACTTTTGTGTAAAACTTTGCTTACTAAAACATTCTCTGAACCATCACTCCATGTGAGTGAGACACTGGGTTAAACACTGAAGACAGAATCACAAATATTCCCCAATTCTGCTAAGCTTTCGGCTACACTAACTTAGACTGGGAAAAAAATATATACATCTTTATCAATAAGACAACAGTTAAAAAATCATAAGCTTGCTAATTCACAGTAGACTCAAGCAGAACTGGATTTTCTTTTCTTTCCACACTAATTTTACCTAAAGACAGAAATAAATACCACCTCTCTTTCACATTTACATAGCACTTCCTTTTCATAAAATCCATACACGGACTCATTAGATATCACAAAGCAGGCTGGCAAGAAGGGAAGTCTTACATTTTTTAGAGATAAAGAAAAAGAAGCTGAGGCAAAATGTCTTGTTAGTAGGTAAGTGCATAAAGCCCATCTCTCTGGAGTGTGCACACCTTTACAACACTTAGCAGCCAGGACTTGTTTTCTTATACAATAAGAAGATTTTCATATACAGCTTGTTTAGATATATTTGAATTATTCCTTTACTTAAGTTGTTTTTTAGGGCTGGGAAGGTGGCTCAGTGGTAGAGCGCTTGCCTTGCAAGCATGAGGCCCTGGGTTCGATTCCTCAGCACCACATAAGCAAAAAGAAAAAAGCCGGAAGTGGCGCTGTGACTCAAGTGGTAGAGTGCTAGCCTTGAGCTGAAGAGCTGAGGGACAGCGCCCAGGCCCAGAGTTCAGGCCCCACAACCGGACCCAAAAAAAAAAAAAAGTTGTTTTTCAGACAGATGGTTCCAGATGTCTTCAGAAGAGCAAAATTCCAAGCCGGGTGCTGGTGGCTCACGCCTGTAATCCTAGCTACTCAGGAGGCTGAGATCTGAGGATCGCGGTTCAAAGCCAGCCCGGGCAGGAAAGACCGTGAGACTCCTATCTCCAATAAACCACCAGAAAACCGGAAGTGGCGCTGTAGCTCAAGTGGTAGAGCGCTCGCCTTGAGCTGAAGAGCTGAGGGACAGCGCCCAGGCCCAGAGTTCAAGCCCCACGACCGACAAAAAAAAAAAAAAAAAAAGAAGAGCAAAATTCCAGAGAGGAACTATCCTAAATACTTCTTACAATTAATAGCCAGAAGCTGAGGACTGGTGGCTCAACCTGTTATCCTTGCTATGCAGAAGGCTGCAACCTGGAGGATTGAGGTTCCAAGCAGGCCAATAAAAAAAGGTCTATGAAACCCTATTTCCAATTATCTAGCAAAATGCCATACAAGCATGATTTAAGTGGTACAATGCCAGCTATGAGCATGAAACCCAAGGTAATTATAATGTAACAGTATGTATTAATTAGTAATCTCTCCCAAATACTAGAACTTTATAAGGGGCCATGAGATTTTTATTTGGTAATCTCCCTGAATTTGCTCCTCACTGCATAGAAACTGGTGTTACTTTGAGTTATCAAAGACACTTCTATAGAAACTAAGGCCAGAGCCTCTTGGGAAAAGAACTCACTTTAACTTTAGCTTTCACTTCTTCATTGTCCCCTTCTCCATCATTGTGAGCTTCCATACCAGACTTCTCTTGGATATCCTTGTTTAGTGCTGAGTACTCTTCTAGTAGAGTGTCAAACAAAACTATTCGCTTATTCTTGAAGAAGCCATAAAAATAAGCATTGCTGTGGGAAGAGCGCTTAGATCCTAAGGAAAAGACAATTCAAAGCATGGGACATAATTTAAAAGACTGGGTCCCTTGGAGAAATTCTCAGAAGTTGAATTTCTGAAAAGGACACTGACATTTTCATTTTTTTTAATATCTGGAGCAAAACTCGATCAACAGAGAGCCCCACCAAGCAATGAATTGTCTACTTTCCTTCATCCTTGGCAACTAATACTTGCAGTTTATAACAATAACCAAAATGAGCCTAAATATTAGACAATGTGGAATCAGTAATTCCAATACCACTAAGTTTTTTTTTTTTTTTTTTTTTTTTAACCAGTCGTAGGGCTTGAATTCAGGGCCTGGGCACTGTCCCTGAGCCTCTTTGCCCTCAAGGATAGTACTCTACCACTTGAGCCACAGAGCCACTTCTGGCTTTTTCTGAGTAGTGTACTGGAGATAAAAGTCTTACAGACTTTCTTGCCCGGGTGGCTTTGAACCTTGATCCTCATATCTCAGCCTCCTGAGTAGAATTACAGACATAGGCCACCGGCACCTAGCTACAAAACGAAAAAAAATTTGTTTTGTCCATTGCAGGGATTGAACTCAGGGCCTAGGAGCTGTCACTGAGCCTCGATGTACTCAAAGCTAGTGCTCTACCACTTGAGCCACAACATCACTTCCAGTTTTCAGGTGGCTGATGGAGATAAGAGTCTTATGGACTTTCCTGCCTGGGCTGGCTTTGAACTGTGATCCTCAAATCTTAGCTTCCTGAGTAGCTAGGATTAAAGGCATGAGGGGCTGGGAAGATGGCTTAGTGGTAGAGCACTTGCCTTGCATGCCTGAGGCCCTGGGTTCAATTCCTCAGCACCACATAAGCAAAAAGAAAAAAAGCCGGAAGTGGCACTATGGCTCAAGTGGTAGAGCGCTAGCCTTGAGCTGAAGAGCTGAGGGACAGCGCCCAGTCCCCTGAGTTCAGGCCCCACAACCGGACCAAAAAAAAAATAAAAAAATAAAGGCATGAGCCACCGGAGCCCAGCTGAAATGAAACTTTAAGCAGTGTTTTTAGAGAATTTTAACAACAAAAGATCATATTCTGCAAAAGAAACAAAACTTCACACATACATAAGGTTCCAGTATTGTCCAGAAAAAATACAAGTAAACATTATAAACATAAACCTATGAAAAAATGTATTATAATCCTAACGTACATATTACTGAGTTCTACAAGTATGAATATTTATTTCTTCCCTTTTGCTTTTCTCTCTTTCTAGAGTTTTTAAAATAAGCACACTGGGCTAGGAATGTGGCTTAGTGGTAGAGTGCTTGCCTAATATGCATGAAGCCCTGGGTTCGATTCCTCAGTACCACGTAAACAGAAAAAGCCTAATTAGTGCTGTAGCTCAAGTGGTAGAGCACTAGCCTGGAGCACAGAGAGGCTCAGGGAAGTGCCCAGGCCATGAGTTCAAGCCCCAGGACCAGCAAAAAATAAAAATAATAAAATAAGCACACTTAGATGGGCACTGGTAGTTCATGCTTATAATCCTAGCTACTCAGGAGGCCTACAGTAGGCCTATAATCCTAGCTACTTCAAACTAGGATGTGAAGATCCCATCCAGGCAGGAAAATCTGTGAGACCCTTATCTCCAATTTACTACCAAAAAACCAGAAGACGCTTCAAGTGGTAGAGTACTATCCTTGAGCAAAAAAAGCTCAGGAACAGTGCTTGGGCCCTGAGTTCAAACCAGCCTCAGGATTAGCAACAACAACAACAAAAAAAGGTCCCTGTACTGGACTAAGATTTTTCTATTGCTGTGCTTCACATGTAGTATATATTGGATAATACTTGTTTATTGGGTGGATTAATGATACTTCTTGAGCATGAAGAAATATAATTAAAACATTCTATGCAAATATAAGGCATGCCACTTAGGTCTTCATGCTGTGTGTGTGTATGTGTGTGTGTACATGTCAGTGTATGCATGTGTGTGCATGCAAGGTTTGAAACCAGGGCCTGAGTGCTGTCTCTGAGCTTTTCTGTTCAAGGCTAGTGTTATACCACTTGAGTCACATCTCTCTTTTTGACTTCTGGTGGTTAATTTGCAACAAGAGTCTCATAGAGACTTTACTACCCCAGTTGGCTTGAACAACAACCCTTAGATGTCTCCTGAGTGGCATGAGCCACCAGCACCCTGCTTTTTTTCTTTTTTAATGTCCCAATGATCCTCTGGTGGTATTTAACATTAGTGACCATTCCTCCTAGAATCACTGCATTTTTCCTTGTGATATTAGGGTTTGAACTCAGGGCCTCACACTTGGTAGGCAGGTGCTCTACCAGTTGTCAACCCATACTTTTTTTTTTTTTTTTTTTTTTTTTTGGGTCCAGTTGTGGGGCCTGAACTCTGGGCCTGGGCACTGTCCCTCAGCTCTTCAGCTCAAGGCTAGCGCTCTACCACTTGAGCCACAGCGCCACTTCCGGCTTTTTTCTTTTTGCTTATGTGGTGCTGAAGAATTGAACCCAGGGCCTCATGCATGCAAGGCAAGCACTCTACCACTGAGCCACCTTCCCAGCCCGACTGAGCCACCTTCCCAGCCCTACACTTCTTTTATTTGGGTTCTTTTTAATGCCTCTTGAGTAAGAAAGATGGACAGTAACTTCAAAAGTCCCCGTCTAAGATCTAGATCTAGGATCTAGTGTCTTCAAGCAATTTATTTTTAGATCACTTTTGGAGTAGCTGGAGCTCCCTGGTTTTCAACTGCTGACACCTTCTTGAAACAAGAATGAGTTTAGATACTCATCCATGAGCTATCATTCAGGAATAGTACAGATCTAAGAGCTATGCTAATGCCTAAGGTTAACAATTTATTAGGGCTTTCATACATTTTGTTAGCTGTCTTGTAGTTCCAACTCACAGACCTAAGAAATAAACCTGTGAGTAAAGGAAAACCACCATGTTTCTGTATGAGGCGATTCCAATGATGTATGGCTACAGGAAAAGCCCCATCGGGATAGATGTCAAACTTCTGTATATTCTCTTTTTTTTGTGTGTGTGTCAATTTTGGGGCTTGAACTCTGGGCCTGGGCACTGTCCCTGAGCTCTTCAGCTCAATGCTAGAGCTCTACCACTTGAGCCACAGTGCAACTTTGGTTTTCTGGTGGTTAATTGGAGAGGAGAGTCTCATAGACTTTCCTGCCTGAGCTGGCTTTGAACTGCGATCCTCAGATCTGTCTCCTGAGTAGGTAGGATTGCAGGCATGAGCCACTGGTGCATGGCAACTTATGCATATTCTTACATGTGTGCTTCTCCCTGCTCACTTCTAGACTCTACTTGGAGAGCTCAGGAAATCTCACATCATGCAAATTTGAGAGAGGGCTTCTCATATGGGAAACCTAAGAAAGTAAGTACTCATTTCTCCAAATCTGTAGCAGTAAGCCAAAATTCCAGGCTTAGTCAAGATGCATCCATTAGGAACTCTTGAATAGTCAGCTAATTACACAAGGAAGCAAGGCAGTCAAGAATTCAGCAGGTGCCAGGGGCAGGATGTTAGTAATTAACCCAGTATTCTGCAGTGGCAACAGCAGTATCCTTCCTACACTGGCTTCTTTTTTTTTTTTTTTTTGGGGGGGGGGGGGGGGGATCCGGTCATGGGGCCTGAACTCTGGGCCTTGGCGCTGTCCCTCAGCTCTTCAGCTCAAGGCTAGCGCTCTACCACTTGAGCCACAGCGCCACTTCCGGCTTTTTTCCTTTTGCTTATGTGGTGCTGAGGAGTCAAACCCAGGGCCTCATGCATGCAAGGTAAGGGCTCTACCACTGAGCCACCTCCCCAGCCCTACACTGGCTTCTTATGACTTTTAAGTTCATAGTTTCCTTACATTATGGTCTGAGTTCTAAGGTTGGTAAACTTAGCCTTCTGGAGGTTTTTGTATTTCAATAAGGAATTTATTCTGCTTAAATCGGCCAAAATTGGTTGGCAGTGCTTCAGAACTTAACTAACACAATGTTTTTTTAAAGGTATCTCAGTATTAACACGACCTTTAGAATTCCTATTTTGGGTCACATCTGAATTTGATGTGGCCACACCTTTCTCCGCCCATACCCTAGATAAGGCCTAGCCCAGACCCAGACGCCCTCTCTCTGCTCTTGTCTATCTCTTCTCAAGCTCTTTTCTCTCTCTTTCCCAGCTCTCTCTCTTTCCCAGTCCTTTCCCAGCCGCATGGAGTGCCAACCTTGCCTGGTCCCAGCAGGTCTACTGAATAAACTTACCCCTTACCTGAAAAAAAAAAAAAAAGAATTCCTATTTTGGGTCTGGGAAGGTGGCTCAGTGGTAGAGTGCTTGCCTCGCATGCATGAGGCCCTGGGTTCAATTCCTCAGCACCACATAAGCAGAAAAAGCCAGAAGTGGTGCTGTGGCTCAAGTGGTCGAGAGCTGGCCTTGAGCTGAAGAGCTGAGGGACAGCGCCCAGTCCCAGAGTTCAAGCCCATGACCCACCAAAAAAAAAAAAAAAAAAAAAAAATGCTGGTTTCATAGAACACCTATTTCCCTACAAACAAGCTCCTGGTTCTGTCCCTCAAAAAACAACCATTACCCATATTACTTATATCAAAAATCCAGGCATCAGAGGATGCCAATTATGTTTCCCAACTGATAATCTATTAGCAGACTACCACTAAAACTCATCCCAAATGCATCCATTTCTCTCTATCAGCTATTACTGCCCTAGTTTAAAAAAGTATCATTTCTGGCTGGGAAGGTGGCTCAGTGGTAGAGCACTTGCCTTGCATGCATGAGGTCCTGGGTTCGATTCCTCAGCACCACATAAGCAAAAAGAAAAAAGCTGGAAGTGGCACTGTGGCTCAAGTGGTAGTGTTAGCCTTGAGCTGAAGAGCTGAGGGACAGTGCCCAGGCCCAGAGTTCAGGTCCCACGACCGGACCCCCAAAAAAAAAAAAAAAGATTACACTTTGAAGCCAGCTTGGTCAGAAAGTCTCCAGTAGACTCTTAATCCTCAACTAACTACTCAAAAACTGGAAGTGGAGCTGTGGCTCAAAATGGTAGAGTACTAGCCTTAAGCAAAAGAGGTCAGTAACAGTAACAACAAAAAATCCCAACAACAGTGCAAAATGTCAATTCTTTTATCAATGTCCCACAAAATCCTACACTGTTGCAACTGTGACTAAAGGTGGCTATGCAACCTGAAAAGCCACTCATTGTCAGAGATGTCTGTACTCTTCTAATTGTTGACAGCTAATTCTTTCCAGTTGTGCCCATCTTTGCTCTCTCACTCTGCAATGGCTCCTATATTTCTACATCTTTATCTAACAAAGTTGCTTCTCAATGGTGACATATTATTTTAAAGCAAGTATTAGCAAACTATGGCTCACTGTCAACTGTTGCTTATGTATATAAAGTTTATTGAAACAAATTCATACTGATATTGCTCTGCAACAGCAGAATTGAATAGTTACGAGAGATCATGCAGCTTTTTACAGAAAACTGCACAGCACACCCAAAACCTAGAGGAAGGAAGTGATTTGTCCAAGCCCTTACAGCTGCGAAGTTCAGAAGGCAGAATTTGGTATATTCATTTTATGTGGATTTTCATTTACAGATTCTATTTTTTTTTTTTTTTTTTTTGGGGGTCCGGTCGTGGGGCCTCAACTCTGGGCCTGGGCACTGTCCCTCAGCTCTTCAGCTCAAGGCTAACACTCGACCACTTGAGCCACAGTGCCACTTCTGGCTTTTTTCTTTTTGCTTATGTGATGCTGAGGAATCGAACCCAGGGCTTCAGGCATGCAAGGCAAGCGCTCTACCATTGAGCCACCTTCCCAGCCCCTCATTTACAGATTCTAGAAATAATGGTACCTTACAAAATGGTTTTTCTCTACCTTTTTATAGGCTTCCTTGAGACTTTAGTAGTCTTATACAAGCAAATAGCTTAACTTTCAAAAACAATAATCAGAAAAGCAGAGGTTAGCTAATCTGAAGTACCTGATGGTAGTATTTTAAGCTTTTGGAAATTTACAAGATAAACAGTCCTCCAGAACAGTGGTTATTTTGTTGGGAGAGGCTGGCACCAGGGCCTGGGCACTGTCTCTGAGCTTTTTTACTCAAGGCTAGTGTTCTACCACTTGAGCCACAGCTCCACTTCTGGCTTTCTTGGTGTTTAACTGAAGATAAGAGTCTCACAGACTTTCCTTCCCAGGCTGGCTTGAAACCTTGATCCTCCAGATCTCAGCCTCGAGAGTAGCTAGAATTACAGGTGTGAGCCACTAGCACAAGGCCTGTCCTAATTTTTAAACAACAAATTAAATAAACAATAAAAATCAATTCATTCTTTCATTTAAATTCTAAAAACTAAGTATTCAAAACAAAGCACTTCAATGAAATCTCCTTACCCCCAGGTAGCCTTACCTTCAACAACATATACCTTAGTCAAAGGAAAGTCAATATTCTTTGCCATTACTTCAATTTCTTGTTTAAGCTTTCCCTCGGGCAGAGGTGTGAACTTGTCAAATAAAGGGGCAATATAATCAGCATAGATTGTAACAAGGACCTGAAAAGTAAATGACAGAACCTATGAATATGTTCTTAAAGAAAAGCTACTCATTATTGTACACATTCAATTATATTCCAACAATTATGTCCACCAAAACTTGCCACCAGAAGACTTATTTGCTCTGGTATTCCCAAACCAAAATTGTCCAGAAAGTAAGAGCCTGGTATCTGTTTAATGAAAATCAAAGTATCAGCCTACTAAGACAGTAAACGTGTCAATCTTACTTTAGAAGATAAAGCTACTAACAGTAAGATCTCTGGGTGGTAATTAATAACCATTTCAAAACTATCTTGAGGATTCTGGGCAGTTTAGTTTTCATTACTATTTTTTTTTGTTTTTGTTTTTTTGGGTCCGGTCATGGGCCTGAACTCTGGGCCTGAGTGCTGTCCCTCAGCTCTTCAGCTCAAGGCTAGCACTCTACCACTTGAGCCATAGCGCCACTTCAGGCTTTTTTTTTCTGGTTATGTGGTGCTGAGGAATCGAACCCAAGGCCTCATGCATGCAAGGCAAGCTCTCTACAACTGAGCCACCTTCCCAGCCCCATTCTGTCCAGTTTATAAATCAAGCATAACATGCAATTCTGGCTTACAAAGTAATCTTGATGGACCAAATCTTTGCTAAACAAGTATTATAAGAGCTTGACTATCTTTTTATGAGAATTATCTGATACATGGTTTATTTTTCAGCTAAAATTAACTGCCTGCAGTTTATAACTGTATACCCTGATTGAAATGGCATCCAGTTCTGGGTTTGTTTTTTGTCCAGGTTGTACTGGAATTGTAATACTCCTCATCTCTACTTCCCAAGAGGCAAGTAAAAGGATTAAGGTCTGAAATTGGCCATGGGCAAAAACCACCAGGTAAAAAAAAGTAAATAAAAGCAAAAAAGGGCTGGAGGTATGGCTCAAGTGATGCTGCACCTACCTAGCAAGGAGATGGCATTGAATTCAAACCCCAGTGATAACATGAAAGAAGGGAGAGGAGATAAGAAGGCAGAGAGAAAGAAGGCAGAAGGAAGCCAGGAAATTATATGCTTTTTTTCTTTTGATCCTCTTAAATCTATTTTCTCTTCAAAATATTCATACTTTTCAGGCACTGGGGTCAGTCAAGACATTAAATTGTACATATATTCAGTCATTCTGGTGCAAACTCACACATACATAAGCCAAATTTCCTGGCAACTAGATCCCTGAAAGTGCTCCAAAAAGCAGCTTTTAACATCTATAAGTCAGCATAAGGAGAAAGATGATGGTCAGGTCCAAATGCAGAAATCAAGAGGTAAATGAGTATGAGCACCTTCTGTATTCCATCCACCCTCTCAGTCTCACCAACAAACTTTGTAAAAGAAAATGAAATCATGATTTTACTCACCAGAGAAACAACCAATGTGAACAGCCAGGCATAAATAAAAAAATAGTCACCCCCAATTTTAATTATGTAAAGCAGAAGTGAAGACACAGGCAATAAAATACATTGAGTCACAATAAATTTTTTGATTGCATCTTTCATAAAAAACTCGAAAGTCTGGAAAGAGAAAATATTACCATTGTAAATTGAGGAACTGATTTCCTTTTTAAAATGACTAGTATGTGAATCCAAAGATTGTACTATTGAAGCCATTTAAAAAATTACATCCAGTAAGACTGTACTATAATACCAGGAAGCCTAAAACATTGATAGTTTAAAAAAACAAATTAATTTAAATATTATTAGCCAAAAGCACTCAAGTGCTCAAAGAGTGAATAGCAAGATTTTAAACTATGATATTTATCACATCTGAAGTTCCTTTTCTCAGTTAATCCATGCTCTAAAATAGCAAATTATATTTAAATTATTACCAGCAAATAATAAAACCACAGAAAAAAACCATCAAATTAAAAAGTTATTTCTGGCCAGGCGTCAGTGGCTCACAGCTGTAATCCTAGCTACTTAGGAGACTGAGATCTGAGGAACATGGTTGAAAGCCAGCCTGGCCAGAAAAGTCTGTGAGACTCTTAACTCTACTTAACCACCAGAAAACCAGAAGTGGAACTGTGGTTCAAAGTGGTATATCATTAGCCTTAAGCAGAAGAGCTCAGGGACAGCACCTAGGCCCTGAGTTCAAGCCCCATGACCAACAAAAACAAAAAAAGTTATTTCTAGCCTGGTGCTGGTGTCTCACTCCTGTAATCTTAGCTACTCAGGAAGCTGAGATTTAAAGAGCATGGTTCAAAACCAGTCCAGGCAGAAAAGTTGTAGATTCTTATTTACAATAAATTATCAAAAAAGCCAGAAGTAGAGCTGTACCTCAAGTACTAGCCTTGATCAAAAGAAGTTCAGGAGTGGTGCCATTGGCTCACTTCTGTAATCCTAGTGATTCAGGAGGCTGAGAACTGAGGGTTATGATTCAAAGCCAGCCTAGGCAGCAAAGTCGGTGAGACAATTAGTTCCAAATAATCACCAGAAAACCAGAAGTGGCACTGTGGTTTAAAGTGGTAGAGCAGCCGGGCGCTGGTGGCTCACGCCTGTAATCCTAGCTACTCAGGAGGCTGAGATCTGAGGATCGCAGTTCAAAGTCAGCCCGGGCAAGAAAGACCGTGAGACTCCTATCTCCAATAAACCACCAGAAAACCGGAAGTGGTGCTGTAGCTCAAGTGGTAGAGCGCTCGCCTTGAGCTGAAGAGCTGAGGGACAGCGCCCAGGCCTAGAGTTCAAGCCCCACGACTGACAAAAAAAAAAATAGAATAAAATAAATAAATAAATAAAGTGGTAGAGCACTGCTAGCCTTGAGCAAAAAGAGCTCAGGTACAGCACCCAGGCCTAGTTCAAGCCCCATGACTAACCAAAAGAAAAAAAAAAAAGAAAAGAAAAAGAAAGTTAGAACAGCACCCAAGTGTGAGTTCAAGTCCCAGAACCAGCAATAAATAAATAAATACATAAACACATAAACACATAAGTAAATAAGTAAGTTATTTCTAATCTAAGAGAAATATTTAATACAATGTGTATAAACAGAATGATAGGGTTATTTCAAGTTAGATGTCAGCAGCTCACGCCTATAGCACTAACTACATCAGAGTTTGAGACTGAGGTTTGAAGGAAAGTCTATGAAACCCTTATTTCTAATTAGCCCCCCCCGCCCCCCAAAAAAGCTACAAGCAGAGCTGTAAATTGGTAATTGGTAAATTGGTAGTGTGCTAGTCTTGAGCACAGAAGTTCAGGGACAGCACTAAGGCCCTTATTCAAGCCTAAGGATTAGGTTAAAAAAAAAAAAAAGTTATTCCTTACTCTACCTGATGATTGAAGCCATGCTTTTCTTCTATCACAAAAGTATTATAGAGACTCCATGGCAATCCAGTCAATGCGCTGAAAAGAGTAGCCAATAGCAGAAACACCAGGGACTGAGTGATCTAAGCATGAGAAGGTAAAAAGGCAGTTTTTATGGTATAATGTAATTCATGTTTCAAATGAACTACTGGGAAACAAATTGAGTATTGCTAGTACTTATTTTATCCCAAGCCATGTGCTTGATCCTGTGGGCAATACAAGGTCTTCTCCATTCAGAGAAATGAAATGTTTGCAGTCAAAGGATAAGATCTTTAAGTTTCTTTTTCTTTTTTCAGTACTGGGAACTGAACCCAGGGAAGAAAAGGGAAAGGGAGAGAAAGGGAGGGGAGGAGAAAAAAAATTAAATCAATCTAAACGTTCATCATTAGGGCATTAATTATATTTTCTAAATCTGTGTGAATAGTCTTACACATACTTTTATTAAAATAATTAACATTATTCTAATACATCAGCACACAAGGATGGTGTAGACAGAGAAGGAAGTTGAATGATGGTACGAGTAAACCAGCAACTAACTTTAGCCAGCACTGAAGGCTTACACCTATAATCCTAGTTACTCAGGAGGCTGAGATCTAAGGACTGTGGTTTGAAATCAACCAAGGTAGGAAAGTCCATGAGACTCTTACCTCAAATTAATCACCAAAAAGCTGGAAGTAGAGCTGTGGTTCAAATGATAACAGTGCTAGCCTTGTGCAGAAAAGCTCAGGGACAGTGTCTAGGCCTGAGTCTAATCCCCAGGACCAATACACACACAAAACTAACTTTAGTATAAAGCCTGCCAACAAAAAAATTTCTTGAAAGGGACTCTGATTAGTATATGCTAATAAATCACATACCTCATATTCTGGTCCAAAGCCAGCATAACCACAGAACTGTCCAGAAATTCTCCAGAGGTAAGGGATTCCTCCAAAGAGAAGAATAAACTATAAAACAAAGCACACAGTGGTCACATATGAATAGTACTAGAAATTATCCCTTGAAAAGAACATGTTATAGAAAAGAAAAGGACAACTGGGTGCCAGTGGCTCTTGCCTGAGTAGCTAACTCAGGAGGCTGAGATCTGAGGACTGTATTTTGAAGCCAGCCTGTGCAGAAGTCCATGAGATTCTTCAATTAATCACTTAAAAAAAGAAGCTGGGGGCTGGGGATGTGGCTTAGTGGTAGAATACTTGCCTAGCATGCACGAACCCCTTGGTTCGATTCCTCAGGACCACATAAACAGAAAAAGCCAGAAGTGGCACTGTGGCTCAAGTGCTAGCCTTAAGCAAAAGAAACTCAGGGACAATGCCCAGGCCCTAAGTCTAAGCCCTAGGACTGTCCAAAAACAAAAACAAAACAAAACAAAAAAAAGTTGGAAGTGGAGATATGGCTCAAGTGGTAGAGTACTGGTTTTGAGGGACTGGCATTAAAGGAAAGAAAAGGAAAGGAAAAAATAATCAATTCTGTAGGAAAAGAAAATATCTATTTTATTTAGGAAAAGGCGTGCACTTAGATGAATAAACCACTTAGGTACTAAGTTTAGACTACTAAATCCTTTTTGCTATACACTATATATGGGTGAATTATATGGTATAGTGAGTGGTTTATTATCTTAAGCTGTTTAAAAAGATACTCAAGGTTCTCAGTTATTTGAGAAAGTGATATCAACTGACCTTACCAAAAAAAAAAAAAAAAAAAGGCAAACAGAGGTCACTAGAGACAAGGGACAGGAATGGGAGGGAGTGGGGAGGAAACAGACTGGTGAAATAATGAAATGTAGTCAGAGAGCAGCTCAGTGTACTTCAGCACACAACAACTTACAGGATATTTTAAAGTAACTACCAATATGTTGGACTAGTTTCATTTTGTTTTCTTGGTGTCTGTACCAGGGCTTTGCGGTCTCAATGGCTTTTGTACTTATAGCTGGTGCTCTATCACTTGAGCCACACCTCAGACTAGGTTAACACTACTGGGCTCAAATATGGCTTTTAAAAGCAGCAGCAGCATCTGAGTATGTATCAAAAATGCAAAATCTCAGCCAGGCACCTAGCTATTCACGAGGCTAAGACCTTAGTTTGAAGCCAGCCAGGGGAAGAAAAGTTCATGAGACTCTTATCTCCAATTAATCACCAAAACAACTGGAAGTGGAGTTGTGACTCAAGTGGTAGTGGTAGCCTTGAGCAAAAAAGGGCTTAGAGACAGTAACCAGTCTCTGAGTTCAAGCCCTAGGACCGATACACACACTCAAAAAGGAAATTCTCAACTCTACTAAATCAGACACTAACACTGGAAGTGGGCTCAGGAGTCTCCAGGTGATTCTGGTAAACACTTAACATTAGAAATGGGCAACCGTGGCCCCAATCTGTAATCCTAGCTATATTAGAGACTGAGATTGGGAGGATCATGTTTCTGGGCCAGACCAGGCAGAAAAGTCTAAGAGACTTCATCTCAATGGAAAGATACTACAGGTTTGGTGGTGAGTGTTTATCATTCCAGCTAGATTAGAAAGCACAGTTTAGGAGGACTGATGTCTAGGCTTAGGCTCAGGCCCAGGCACAAAGTTGAGAGGCTATCTCAAAAAAATAACCAGTGGGGCTGGGAATGTGGCTTAGTGGTAGAGTGCATGCCTAGCACACATGAAGCCCTGTGTTTGATTCCTCAGTACCACATAAACAGAAAAATCCAGAAGTTGTGCTGTTATTCAAGTATTAGAGTGCTAGCCTTGGGCAAAAGAAGCTCAGAGATAGTACCCAGGCCCTGAGTTCAAGCCTCAGGACAGGCAAAAGGAAAAAACTAATAATAACCAGTGGGAAAAAAAGAAGGCTGAAGATATGGCTTAATGTTGTAGCATCTATCTAGCAAGCATGAAGCCCCAAGTTCAAAATCCAATACTGAAAAAAAAAATTGTTAAATAAATTACCTTTTTAAACACTACCCTAAGTCAATGTCCAGGCATTTCCACTTTACTATAATTAACTCGATAATCTCAGATGTTAAGTAAACCTTATTCCCAAAAGACATGCTTTGGCACCACTGGCATTTGTTGAACTAATTGACCTGTGATGGCATTTCTTTCATCCTATTCCCAATACTAATAAATAATATAGAATTAAGGATTTAAAATGCTTTAGGTGAAAGCCTAAAACACCCACAATTAAAAGTCCAACTTTTAGATAACTGATGTTCCAAACCTTAAGTTTACTTTGGGGACTGAAACACAAAGCCTAGCGAACTATAAACTTTCTCTATATTAATAATCTCCCTGAGCACACTCCTGGGGATATTCTCAGACAAGAACTAGTGAGCCCAACAAAAGCAATTCCAGTGCTTGAAAATCAGGCATGGTAGGGAATATAATTATTTTTATCGATGAGGCAATGAACACAAGAGAAGTTAAAAAGAGAAGGGGTGAGGGTTAAGTAACCTCCCCCAAAGGAACCAATGATGAAGTGCTGGCTGTGTTGAACTCTGTATCAAGTGCTTCATTTACATTATCTTACTTACTGAGTCCTTTCCACAAACCATTTAAGGTCAAGATCTAGTATCTATCTACTTCTCATTTTAAAAGAAAATCAAGAGGCTCAAAAGGCAAAACTTGAGGAAAGCGGTGGGTTGGGAGGGACAGGTGAGAATGTTAAAGAGGTGACACTGTTCAAGATAGTGTACTCATAAACTGCTTTGTTGAACAAAACTCCTTTGAGGAAGTACTTAAAAAGACAATAAAAAAAAGTTTTTTAAAGGCAAAACTTAGCCAGGCCTTTTGCCTGTCCAAGCTGGCTTCAAACTTTGATCCTCATACTCTCAGGGGAGGAACCCAAAGGTGGAACTCCTCTGAACATTTAAAATACTATTTATCAAAATGAACTCCAAGAAATGGAAACATCTTTTTTGTTGTTGTTATTGGTGGTAGTTGTGGTGTTTTTGCTTTATTTTCTTTTGGGGGGCAGAAAGTGAGGGTGAGCAAATGCGATCATATTATTGAGTATACAGTATGTGGAAAATGACCTATATAACTTGTGGGCAGGGATGGGAGGGGGAAACTGGGAGAAAGTAAAGGGAAGTGAGGATGTTGTCCAAAAAGAAGAAGAAGAAGAAGAAGAAATGTACTTATTACCTGGTTTACGAAATGGTAACCCTTCTATACAAAACTTTAATAATAATAAAATTATATTAACAAAAAAACTTTGATCCTCGGATCTCAGCCTCCTGAGTAGCAAGGATTCAGGAGTAAACAACAGCTCTACTTCCTCAGCTGGATTCTAAGGGAAGAACAGGGATTAACCAGACTCCAATCAGATGATGAAGATGAAGAGGTAGCATGACATCTAAGGTAGGGATACTGCATGAGGAAAGACTCAGTCATACAAAACCAAGCTAGATATGGCATGATCAAAACAGAGAGCCAGGTGCCAGGGGCTCACGCCTGTAATCCTAAATTGAGATCCGAGGATGATGGTTCAAAGCCAGCCCAGAGAGGAAAGTCCATGAAACTCTTATCTCCATCAGGAAACCTGAAGTGCTGCTGTGGCTCAAAGTTATAGAACACTAGCCTTGAGCTGAAGAGCTCAGGGACAGCACTCAGGCCCTGAGTTCAAGTCCCACAATGGACAAAAATAAATAAATAAGAACAAAAAATTGGAGGAAGGAATAAAATGATAAGCAGATGTAAGCTGTGGCAGGTCAAAAAAGACTAATCAAACTGTATCAAGAAATTTGTGTTTCCGAGAGAAACAGTAGGCTACAGCAAGGCTTTATGTAGGGCAGTAACGTGATCAGAAATGTGATTTAGAAATATTCTTGGGGCTGCAAAGTAGAGGGTGGTTTAGATATTCAAAGTAATTGCAGGAAGAACTGTCAGGGCCTGTTAAAGGAACAATACAGGCTAGGAATGTGGCCTACTGGTAGAGTGTTTGTCTAGCATGCATGAAGCCCTGGGTTCGATTCTTCAGTACCACATAAACAGAAAAAGCTGGAAGTGACACTATGGTTCAAGTGGTATAGTGCTTTCCTTGAGCAAAAAAAGCTCAGGGACAGTGCCCAGGCCCTGAGTTCAAGTCCCAGGACTGGCAAAAAACAAAACAACCCCCCCCCCCCCCCCCTGCACAATGTAAGGTTCTTTTTAATACCTGGCCTTCAGGTGATAATCGCCATATTCTACAATATTCAACTGAAAGCAGTTATGTTTCTGCCTATTTTATGCCACACATATTATTATCAATAACAAAGGTTATGGCTAGAGATATACCTCAGTGGTAACGCCTTTGGCTAGTATACTCAAGGCCCTGATGTGATCTCCAGCACTAATTAAAATTTTTAAAAAAGGAAAGAGAAAAAGAAAACAACCTAAGATTCACTGGGACTGTACTCTGTGTCACAAGAAAAATAACAAAAATAAAAACAAGCATTGAAAAGTATTGAACAATTTGAGAGATTATCTGTCCAAGAAGTAAACTATACTCACAGTGCCTTCGACTTCTGAATAGAGTCCTGACCAGAAGCTGAAAGTACTTTTATCCAGTTGATATAGTCGAGATTTCTCAAATGTTTCAGAATCCATGATCTGTCCTAATTCCGGTGGTACATGAGTTGTTGTCTTATATATCCTTCTCTGAAACATTTTCAAGAAGACACTTTAACAAAATAGTCAACTGTTCATTACAATCATAATTTGTGATCAAACACTGAGGGTTTTATAACATTAATTTACCATATAAGCCTAAAGAATCTGTTTCAAACATGCACACATACTTGACATTTAGTCAGAAAAACTCATCACTGAAATGACTGATGCCGAAAAGCAAAAGCAGAACCAGAGAAACTGAAGCTAAAAGTCCAGGAACAACAATCAGAGATGTCTTCACATTTCAGTTTCCTGCACAAACCAAAGTTGCAACATCATCAAGATTACACTCATTCTGGGTGTCACGTACATCTGACAGCACAGAGACTAGATTCGTAAAAAAAGAGAAGTAAACACACTAGCAAGTATAAAAAGATACTGTGAACAGTAATGGCCTAGAAGACAAGTTAAGAAAGCGTTTTTTGAGGAGAGATAGAAACCCATCGAGAACCACTGTGGTTCATGCCTGTAATCCTATGCAGAAGGCTGAGATCTGAAAATCCTGATTCCAACCTGGCCCAGTCAGGAAAGTTCATGAGCTTCTTATCTCTAATTAACCACCAAAGAGCTGGATGTAGAGTTGTAGTCGAAGTGGTAGAATGCTAGTTGCCCCAGCCCTTAGTTTGTGCCCCAGGACCAACATTAAATAAACAACTTATGTCTTCAAATACATGTTTTACACTATGCCAACTAAAATGTAATTTCAGCCCATGGGACATATCACAGAAAACATATCAAAAATAGAATAGACCTCGGCTTTTACAGTGGTCCTAAAACAAATGTTTTCTCTATAATGGTATATCAATAAAAGCGAAGGGCATTAAATTAAAGCATAATTCATCAAAGACCCTAATCACAGGTAGCTATTGTAACTAGGCTTATTATTAAAGTGAGACAAATCTCAATATCTCACCTTCCAATTTTGACACCATATACTGTGTTTATACACAGGATCTTCTCCAGGCCAGCAAAATTCTATACTAACAAAGCTATCCAACACGTATGTTAGTGTAATTAGTTATATAGTTTATCTTTGAATACTGGGCTAAAGGAAGAGATTGCGATATAGCCCAGCTACTGACCGAAATGAATGAAACTATTATAAAGCTTCATGCAGAATGTAGAAAGGGAGAAACTTGCAAAAACAATACTTCCATGGCCCATGAAAAAGGCACCTAGCAAGCACAAGTTCAAATCCTTGTACCATGAAAGACAAAATGAGGAAAGGGTTTTCCCTACCATCAGCAAGGACATTACAATGACGACACCGAACATATGTAAAGCAAACCAGTAGTCAGAGATTGAAATGAAACTGTCAACTGAAGTTGATTTCACTTTAAAATCCAGATCCCTAATCTTTCCAGCTATTAACTACAGCTTTACTATCCAGGGAATTTTTATTAACATTCATTTTCTACTTAATTTTTTTAAAAAAATAATGAAGCCAATTCTATGAAATGGAGGAGAGAGGTAAAACATATATATAAAATTTTTTTTTGGGGGGGGGCTGGGAAGGTGGCTCAGTGGTAGAGCACTTGCCTTGCATGCCTGAGGCCCTGGGTTCGATTCCTCAGCACCACATAAGCAAAAAGATAAAAGCCGGAAGTGGCGCTGTGGCTCAAGTGGTACAGCACTAGCTTGAGCTGAAGAGCTGAGGGGCAGTGCCCAGGCCCAGAGTTCAGGCCCCACGACCGGACCAAAAAAAAAAAAAATTTTTTTTGGGGGGGGTGGTCAGTCGTGGGACTTGAACTCTGGGCCTGGGCACTGTCACTAAGCTCTTCAGCTCAAGGCTAGTGCTCTACCACTTGAGCCACAGCGCCACTTCCGGTTTTCTAGTGGTTTTATTGGCGCTAAGAGGCTCATGGACTTTCCTGCCTGGGCTGGCTCTGAAGCGCGATCCTCAGATCTCAGCCTCCTGAGTAGCTAGGATTACAGGCGTGAGCCACGGGCGCCCGGCTCCTTTATATATTACATAAATATATATATATATATATATTACATAAATGCAAATGCTTAGAAGGATCGCTCAATCTTTATTATCAGAAAATAGATTCCTAACCCTGCGGTTGAACTAATGACCCCACGAATGTCCTGGGGGAAGTTGTGACTCGGAAATTTTAGCACCTTCCTTTAGAAGACTTACTATCAAAGACAGAAGAAGCTTGGCCCGGGCCCCGGGATCCGTCCCGCGAGGCCGTGGAACAGACAGGGCAGCCCTTCCCTTTCTGCGGGTCCTAACAGTCGAGGGGTCCCCCCGATAACATGGGGGATGGCTTCCCTGCGATACCAAGGATCCCCCCTCCAGACACACACACAATCCACAGCCACCATCTGGACACGTCGGGGCGCTCAGTAGGGTCTTGTGGGGTCGAGGGGAGGCTGGCCCCGGACCGTCCCGAATCCCGAATCCCATCCCGGGTCCCGGGCCCGGTGGGCCCAGTCCAGGCTCACCTGCCGCTGCGCTAGGAAGGTCTCCCAAAGATACACCGTCCAGGAAAAGAGCAGCACGGCCCCGAAGATCCGTTTCTCGGGCGGCGTCTCCCACAGCGCGTCCAGCGACGCCCACGATCCCATGGCCACCCCAGCCCCGGCTCCCTCAGCGTGCGCCGGCGCCTGACGCACGGCCGTCCCTTCACGGAGTCCCCGCGGTGTCGCAGCGATATGGGTCCCTTCCGAGTGCCTCCTCCATCGCCCGCCCCCATCGCGCCCTCACAGCGCCGCCGGCAGTGTCACAAACACACTCTTCCCCGCGCAGACGCTCCGTACAGCTCCGCAGTTACTGCTAGACCAGGGCCAGCCCCTCCGTCCTCACTTCCGGCCCCAAGAGAGCCCAAGCCCAGACGCAGACTTCCGGCCCTTCCTGTTTCTGAGCGGTGTCGCTCCATCATTGTTCCCCCTCCCTTCCCACTCCCAGAGCTGGGTTTCGGATCCGAGTTTTGGCTTTCTAAGTTCCAGGGTCACAGTTCTCTTCCATCCCTCGCCGCCTAGGCTGCACTGGTAGGCACATGTACTGCCTGAAGTAGCAGGGAAGGAAGGGGACGTCACAGCCCCTACTCTAAAAATATCTATCTATCTATCTAATCTATCTATCTATCTTTTAACTCGGCTGTTCAAACGGCCGTAGGTGCATCCGATTGATATTTGCAAAAAGGGGCCTTTCCGATGGGGTGTGTATTAGGATGTTTTGACTTAAGGCATATTAGTGAAGAGATTGGCAGTAGTGACAAGAACTTTCATTAGATCTCATCTGATCCACCCCAAAATGAAGTCAAAGGTGACATTTTGCCTGTGTATGATATGGAGCAAGACAAGAACAAGAAAGTCAGAAATGGGGCTGGGAAGGTGGCTCAGTGGTAGAGTGCTTGTCTTGCATGCCTGAGGCCCTGGGTTCGATTCCTCAGCACCACATAAGCAAAAGAAAAAAGCCGGAAGTGGCGCTGTGGCTCAAGTGATAGAGCGCTAGCCTTGAGCTGAAGAGCTGAGGGACAGCGCCCAGGCCCAGAGTTCAGGCCCATGACCGGACCCAAAAAACAAAACAGAACAAAAAAAAGAAAGTCAGAAATGTCTTAAACCAGCCAGGTGTGCTGGTTCACACCAGTCATTTCTGCCCTCTAGGGGCTGAGGCAGAAAAGTTGAAAGCATAACCTGGGCTGCATAATGGAACCTTCGTTTTGTTTATTTTGTTTTTAAATACTGAAACAATAAATACTGAAACAAAAATCTGTTTTATCTGGGGGACAAACATATAAAAGCTCCTTATCATTTTTGACTTGAAATTAACAAGTGAAATGTGGTCACTGGGATAAAGGTTAATATGTTAATATTTAATCATAAATATTAATGTTTAATAAGTATTAACATATTTATTTCACTTGAAACCCAAAATCAGACTTTTTTGGGGTCAGTCGTGGGGCTTGAACTCTGGGCTTGAGCGCTGTCCCTCAGCTCTTCAGCTCAAGGCGGAGCCTTCTACCACTTGAGCCACAAGGCCACTTCTGGTTTTCTAGTGGTTTATTTATTTATTTATTTTTGGGTCCGGTTGTGGGGCCTGAACTCTGGGCCTGGGCGCTGTCCCTCAGCTCTTCAGCTCAAGGCTAGTGCTCTACCACTTGAGCCACAGTGCCACTTCGGGCTTTTTTTTTTTTTTTTCCTGCTTATGTGGTGCTGAGGAATCGAATCCAGGGCCTCATGCATGCAAGGCAAGCACTCTACCACTGAGCCACCTTCCCAGCCCCATCTAGTGGTTTATTGTAGATAAGAGTCTCATGGTCTACTTTCCTGTCAGGGCTGGCTTTGATTCGCAATCCTCAAATCTTAGCCTGCTGAGTAGCTAGGATTACAGGCGTGAGCCACGGACACCCAGCTCCCTGAGCTTCTTTTGCTCAAGGTTCATACTCTACCACTTCAGCCACAGTGCCATTTCTGGCTTTTTCTGTTTATGCGCTATTAAGGAATTGAACCCAGGGCTTCATGCATGCTAGGCAAGCACTCTACTGCTAAGCCACATTTCCATTCCTGTCAGAATTTTTATAACCCAAAGTAAGTCTGATTTAGGTAATTGGTTCTAGACTGGTGTTGCTGCTTTGCATATTTATTTATTATAAATAACTATAATTAGATATTTTTAAGTTATGGTGTTGATTGTATTGCTAGATTTTTAATTTTAAAACATTTTAAGTGAGCATCTCAAAATTTTCAATCTATAGGACTTTCACTTTCTTTTTTTTTTTTTTTTTTTTGTCGGTCGTGGGGCTTGAACTCTGGGCCTGGGCGCTGTCCCTCAGCTCTTCAGCTCAAGGCGAGCGCTCTACCACTTGAGCTACAGCGCCACTTCCGGTTTTCTGGTGGTTTATTGGAGATAGGAGTCTCACGGTCTCTCCTGCCCGGGCTGGCTTTGAACCGCGATCCTCAGATCTCAGCCTCCTGAGTAGCTAGGATTACAGGCGTGAGCCACCAGCGCCCGGCTTAGGACTTTCACTTTCTAAGAGAAAGTAATCTCTATAATTAGATAACTTGAGAAGTTAATGTTAACTAGTCACAGCATGCATTCCTTCACAAGACAGATTTTTAAATTTTTAAATTTTTTTTTTTTTTTAGTCCGGTCGTGAGGCCTGAACTCTGGGCCTGGGCACTGTCCCTCAGCTCTTCAGCTCAAGGCTAACACTCGACCACTTGAGCCACAGCGCCACATCCGGCTTTTTTCTTTTTGCTTATGTGGTGCTAAGGAGTCGAACCCAGGGCCTCATGCATGCAAGGCAAGCACTCTACCACTGAGCCACCTTCCCAGCCCAAGACAGATTTTTAATAGTTCTTTTGCTTTCAGCAAAATCAGTGGTGGACCTGAACTATTTGTCAGGTTATAAAGGACATGATTTGATTTTTGGAATAGTACTTAGAAACCAAAGAATTGACATTACAAAAACAAAATTACTGGGGCTGGGAAGGTGGCTCAGTGGTAGAGTGCATGCCTTGCATGCCAGAGGCCCTGGGTTCGATTCCTCAGCACCACATAAGCAAAAAGAAAAAAGCCGGAAGTGGCGCTGTGGCTCAAGTGGTAGAGCGCTAGCCTTGAGCTGAAGAGCTGAGGGACAGTGCCCAGGCTCAGAGTTCAGGCCCCATGACCGGATCCCCAAAAAGAAAAAATTACTAGCATTCTCATCTACTTAGTTTTTGAATAGTATTTCTTAGCACTTGATCTAAGAAAACAAACAGGAATTAAAATGAAAATGACAAGCCCCATGACAAAAAAAAAAAAAAAAGATGACTTTTAATTGACTTTCAGGGCTGGGGATATGGCTTAGTGGTAGAGTGCTTGCCTCACATGCATGAAGCCTTGGGTTCAATTCCTCAGTACCACAAACACAGAAAAGGCTAGAACTGGACAATGGCTCAAGTGGCAGTGTGCTATCCTTGAGCTTCAAAAGAAGCTCAGGGACAGTGACCAGGCTCAGAGTTCAAGCCCCGCCCCCCCCAAAAAAAAAAAGAAAGAAAGGAAGGAAGGAAGGAAGAAAGAACCCTGTTGATTTAGCAGTAAGAATAATCATTCATCCTAGTTTATGAAATTGAGATCTGAGGATTGTGGTTCAAAGTCAGTCTAGACAAAAAAGTCCATGAGATGCTTATCTCCAATTAATTAGCAAAAGACAGAAGTGGAGTTGTGACTCAGGTGATTGAGCACCAACTTTGAGCAGAAAAAGCCAAATAAGAGTGAGAACCCCTGAGTTCAAGCCTCAGTATGATGAGCTCATACACAAAAAAAGAACCTGAATATAACTTAGAGATGATAAAGCTCACTAATGAATAAAGTTGGTTACTGTTCTGTAGATTCTAATGGTTACATTGTATAAAGTGATTTAACCATTTTATCTTAAAATGGCAGTGTTTATGATTTACCTGAATGTACATCCATGATAATGATTGAAATTTGTGATAAAAATGCTTAGATACCAATTTAAATATCTGAGGAGATAGACACCAACTTTCTTGGGCCATTCCTGCTATGCCCTCCTTACCCTTATCTTTATCTGAGAACCCAAGGCCTCACAGAAGATCCTGCCGCCCTCTGTCTTTGTGGCCAAGAGCTCAAGTATACAGTCAATCACAGCTATACCTTCCGTAAGCAAGGTACTTGTTACATATCCATAGACTTACTGTACAAAACCTTGGTCCCGGGCTGGGAAGGTGGCTCAGTGGTAGAGCGCTTGCCTTGCATGCATGAGGCCCTGGGTTCGATTCTTCAGCACCACATAAGCAGGGGGAAAAAAAAGCCGGAAGTGGCGCTGTGGCTCAAGTGGTACAGTGCTAGCCTTGAGCTGAAGTGCTGAGGGACAGTGCCTAGGCCCAGAGTTCAGACCCCACAACTGGACCCAAAAAAAGCCCAAAACCAAAACCAAAAAACACCTTGGTCCCCACCCAGCTGGCTATGCTAATTTTGGGAGGCTCTGGAAACTTGAGGAGGTAGGGTCTAGTTGGAAGTAGGTCACTGAAGGGCCTTAGGGGCTCTCTCCCCTCCCCTCCCCTCTTTTCTCCTCTTCTCCCTTCTCTGCCCCTCTTAATTCTTCCTAGCTGTTAGGATATAGCTATCCTGCTTTGGTCATGCTCTCCCCACTATGATAGACTGAAACCTCTGAAACCGTGAAGCAAGATAAATTCTTCATCCCTTTAAGTGTTTTTCTCTGGTATTTGGTTACAGTAATAAAAGTCTGATTAAACCCTTGAACACTGTGTGTATCAATTCCTTGTCTGTAAAACCAGCATAATAGTGCTTATCTCCTTTTAGTATTAGGATCAAAAGCGGATAGCCCCTGGTGGCTCACACCTGTAATCCTACCTACTCAAGAGGCTGAGATCTGAGGATCATAGTTCAAAGCCAGCCCAGGCAGGAAAGTCCATGTGACTCTTATCTCCAATAAACCACCAGAAAACTGGAAGTGGCGCTGTGGCTCAAGTGGTAGAGCGTTCACCTTGAGCTGAAGAGCTGAGGGACAGCACCCAAGCCCAGAGTTCAAGCCCCACAACTACCACCACCCCACCAACAACAAAAAAGGATAACCAGGCTGGGAAGGTGGCTCAGTGGTAGAGCGCTTGCCTTGCATGCTCGAGGCCCTGGGTTCGATTCCTCAGCACCACATAAGCAAAAAGAAAAAATCCGGAAGTGGCGCTGTGGCTCAAGTGGTAGAGCGCTAGCCTTGAGCTAAAGAGCTGAGGGACAGCGCCCAGGCCCAGAGTTCAGGCCCCACAACCGGACCCAAAAA